TCGGCAAACTGCGGCTCACGAGCCACATGCGGCTCTTTGGCCCCTTGAGTGTGGCTCTTCCACAAAATACCACGTGCGGGCGCGCACGTACAGTGTGATTGAAACTTCATGGCCCATGCGCAGAAGTCACTATTTTGTGGAAGAGCCACACTCAAGGGGCCAAAGAGCCGCATGTGGCTCGTGAGCCGCAGTTTGCCGACCACTGGTCTAGGTCAGGGGCAGACACAGGGGGCCGCTTAGGAAATGAGTGCTGAATCTGCGTGGGAGATGATGCTGGCTCAAACCAGGGGGCAATGGAGGCAGCAGACTGTTGGGAGGGCCTGGTTGGAGCGGAGGCCGGGAGCGGGAGCTCGGTTGGGGCTATGTCACGTGTGAGATGCTGTTTGGCATCCGTGTGGAACCTGGATCTGGAGTTCAAAAGAGAGGCCACCTGGAGGTGTAAATTGGGAGCCCCAACGCACAGACAGACATTTAAAGCCTTGCGCCTGCTAATTTTTTATTTCTTATAAATAAAAGAGTCGAAGCAAATATGATGGCGTTGGCATCTATTAATTCTGGGTGGCAGACACAGTGGTGTTTGTAACACTGTTCTCGGTGCTTTGAGTATGTTTGAACTTTTTAATAATAAAGTAACTGAATGCCACAAGGCTCCAAACTGCTGAACAGTTTTGTCAGGAGTGCCTTACACCTAAAGCGTGGGAGCTGCAATGGCTGAGGAGCCAGGTCCAAATGCCCCTGGCACCACTATGCCCAGTGACGGGGGATCGACTGTCTCCCTGGGCCTCTGTTTCCCCATTTGAACAACAAGGGCCTGGCCCATGGCTTCTCAGGGTTCCTCTAATGCTGACCATGCAGGATCCAAGGGTCCCTGCCGGCTCTGATTTTGTCCACCCGCCTCTCGTGCCTAGTCTTACGGAGGAGGCCACAAAAACCCCCATGAGAAGGCTCTGTAGGTGGAAGGTTAACTTTGTCTCCAAACATGGAAACTGCAGCAAGCAGGGGTCAGGGCCCCTTGGCCCCCAGAACCGGGGACCCAAAAAAAATTAGGTGGAGCTTAGAAGCAGGGACCCTAGAGATGACAACTCTCCCCAATATTTACTGCTGATGAATGCACCCTGCTCAGAACCCCAGGGCTGGCCCATGAGCCTGAAACGTACAGATGGGTGGGTGGCTGCCAAGTTATAATAGGCACAGGTAATGACAATAATAATACTAATAATACTAATAATATTTATGTGCCAGGTTCTGAACTGGAGTCCTTAATAGGCATTCTCTCATTTAAGCCACACAACGGGGCCAGGGCTGTAGGGCTCTCCTTTTCATTAGCTTGACTGCAGATGAGTAAACTGAGGTCAGACAGGGTGCAGGCTCCAGGTGGCACATGCCCCTGACTCTTGGCCTTCTCACCCATGGGGACTGGGAGTCACGTCCAGAAGAAGGCCTGACTGAGGCCTTCTAAAGCCCAGAACTAGGACCCAGCCCCTCCTGCCCAACCAGGGGAGCCAGAAGACGACCCTGAGCCAGGGCGGGAGCAGCCCCTGTGAAGGAGGAAACAGAAAGGGCTGATAATAGGATGCACAGGACAGGGACACTGGGTGGATATAGCTGCCAACCTGAGCCCCCAAGAGCCATTGAGCCTGAGCCTGGATCCCTGACACCTTGGCAGGTGGGTGTGTGGGAGGGGGGCAGTCACCTGCATCCCCAGTGATAAAAAGCCGCCTGGATGACTGTACTGCTCTCCCCAGCCCCTCGCCTGTGGTGTCTGGCTCAGCCGCATGCAAAGCGTCTGGCCCCAGGGGGAGGTGGGGCGAACACACCAGCAGCTACTTGGCTATAAATAGCAGCCTCCAGCGGCTGCTCACTCACCTCCTTTCTCCATCACAGACACACCCGAGCCCCTCGGACACCTGGACCATGGACCCTGGGGAGTGCTCCTGCTTGTCCGGTGAGTAAGGATGTCCGCCCTGGCCCGGCTGGCGTGGCTCAGTGGTTGAGCGTCGACCTATGAACCAGGAGGTCACGGTTTGATTCCCGGTCAGGGCACATGCCCAGGGTTGCAGGCTCTGTCCCCAGTGTGGGGCATGTAGGAGGCAGCCGATCCATGCTTCTCTCTCATCACTGATGTTTCTCTCTC